AGAAATGAGCCCTACATGTTGGATACCCTGATCCCACCTTTGGATATCGGACAACACCTGATCAATTTTAGTCTTAACCAAAGACCAATTCTCAGCTTTCCAAGCCAACAACTTATGTTTCACATTGAGGAGTTTCTTATGGAGAATGAAGTCCACTTACCCAAAGAAAACAGAATTCACCCAGATGGACTTAATAAGATCAACAACACCCGGTTCATCCAACCAACAAAGCTCCAGACAAAAAGGCTTTTCTCCGCTTATACTAAACGTAGTATTGAGCAAAAGAGCAGTGTGATCAGATGAAAGCCTAGGCAGTGCTTTGATAGTAATCAAAGAAAAGGCTTCCATCAATCCTGAGTTACCAAAAAAGGGTCCAACTTAGACATAATCAGATTATGAGCACGACAATTTGACCAAGTAAATTTAGCACCCGCTACAGGCAAGTAAAACAATTGAAAACGCTCAATGAACGAATTAAACATCCACATCAACGAGTTAATAGGAGGATTGGACGACGACATCTCATACGGCTAACGAACTTAAAATCACCACCCAAACAAATTGGCATATCATGAGAAAGCAGCACATCACCCAAATCAATAAGAAAAACTTCTTTAAGAGAAGGCACCATAGGGCCATAGACATTGACGATACCCCATTTGAAACCACCACTTGGTCCCTCAAAGAAGATGCCCAAAATTCTATCCCTCTTAACTACATCAAAACAATGAAAAAGAAGTGGATCCCACAAGATCCATAAACCCCCCGAAGCCCCTAAAGCATCTACCCCCTCAAAATTAACTGCCCCATTACCCCAAATGTCTCTAACCACAGATAAATCTGGAGCATAAAAATTAGTTTCTTGCAAAATAAGAACTTTAGGTCTAATGACTTCTTTTTCACAATTTGTCGGCCAGGGGGTTGGCTTACATTTGTGTACAACCGAATAAGTTTTAAAAATCAATACACAAAGTAGGAGGACGAATTTTGAAAATCTTTTTAAAATATAGGGGTAAACAGTAAAGAAAACATGAGAAAAAGAAAAAATAGGAGTTTTTTCTCCTTTCACCTTCGATGTTTGTTAAACCAAAAGTCGATGTTGAACTCCTATGAGAGGATTTTCATAGGAATGTTCGTTTAGGGATTCAGGGTCTAAATGAGATGTTTACTCAAAGTTCTCATCCTAGATAGTGGTCTATTTATGGTCTCTTCCTAGACAGTAGTCTATTTATGTTTTTTCCTAGACAGTGGCCTAGTTATGAAATGGAATAGAGATGAGAGATCAGTAGTGGTGCCATTTGGGAGAGCAGTTCCAAAGGATTTTTCTCGACTGCGTTGTATCGAGGGTTAGAGGTAACTCTATATCTCAAAATCTATGATGTAAGTTTCATTGGTATAGTAGATTTCAGTTTGTCATGCCCGTGGATGTATCCCTTCTTGTGTTTTATGTTTTATTTCTCATACTTTATTTGCTAAAAATCAACCCATTGGGTTTAGAGCTTCCATACACAACAGTAGCTCTATTCCAGACTTTGGAGATATGATGGCAAAGTGAACCAAGAAATTTCTAGCAGCCTTTTTGGCTTAACATGGACATCCAAGACTTAAAAGCAACATCCAACATGCCATAGATCATGCGTGATGAAGCCACAAGAAATGGCTTCATCATGGGAGAAGAGCTTGGAGAGGATGACACCTTTATCATTCTTGAGATAATACATCAAGGTGGTTTATGAAAATATTTAGCACGGTTTTTATAGTGATAACAGCAGCCTAACAATGCTCAATGGCACCCATCAAGCAATAGATGATGCATAGGAGAAAGACTAGGGTGCGTGCACTTTCAAGTGTGAAGAACAAAGCTTGAAAGAGTGGGGCGTGGAGCCCCTTTGGAGAAGAGATTAGGGTTTAAAACAAGAACCACCTAACTTCAACTCTAGTGGGAACATGGTCCTAGTTATACACTTTTCATGTAGGGTACTTTTCTTTGATTAGATCTCAACCACCCATTGGATGATCCAAGAGTTGAGAGAGGTTAAAGTTCTAGCCTACCAAGAATTGGATGGTGATTAATTATCATATCTTTATCACTATACCCACATACCACCTTTCAACAATATCAAATGTGCTCTCCAACCCTAATTTTCAAAAATATTGAATCTCCACCATTCAGTTCATCATCATCAAGTCAACACCATTGACTAAATAACTCATGTTTGAATTTGAAATGAGGGTGGCTCGCCACCATTCCATATGGGTTGGTCTTGCTTCATGCACGCTCAAGCTTCATGTGGAGTGAATCTTCCTCTTATGAAGTATCACTTTCAAAGGAGGGGACATGTCATAATTTTGTCCCCTTGTCTCTTTCGAACCAATGAGAAGCCATCATTTCAACTTTTAAATGAGTGAACAAATCACAAAATTTGAGAATTAAATAAATCATGAAAATGAGAAATTTCTACACGTACACATGTGAGCTCACACATGCCACCACACATGTAATTCACAAATGCGTCTTAAATCCCTTTACACTTATCTATGTTATGTCTTATATCCAAACAAGGTCTTGCACCAAATTTTAGGCTTTCCATGTCACACCCATAGGGCATGTAATTGCCCTTTAGGTTGCACGTGTGGCACACATTGGCCATTTGTGTGCCACATGTCACATGTGTGAATGTCCTTAATTGAAATTACTACACCAAAATATTCTCGAAGTACTTTCCTTTGAAAAACAATTCCCAAATATCTTCTAAATTTATGATAAATCAATTTTCATCATTCCACATCAAAACATTAGGGTTTGGCTGGGGTGAAAAAACCCCGTTCTACATGTAGTCGGGTTGTATGATATTCTACTAGGCTAGACTCAGAAATCCAATCTAATTTCTCAGACCAACCCAACAGGTGCCTTTGCATTACAGACTTCAGTTTGAACTTGATAGGGCCTATCAAAGCTCGCCGATAGTTGGATTGACCCCAAGGTTATTTAGTGGATTACAGGTTCCCCCCAAGGATATGCACCAGGGGTCCTCTTTCAGCAAGGATTTAAGCACAAAGCGGATCTTACCATATCAAAATGACGTCCTAAAATGCAATAGTATGTGCACGCGCTGTGAGCAAGCTACACGTGTCAGGGATTTTGGGCTTATGTCTTGCTCTGCTCACATAGGGCTTATACAAAATACACATATATCACAAACTGGTATCCACTTATCCCCAAGCCTTGGCTCACATGGCATGAAGGGAAACTAATCCTTTTGACCATGACTAGAACCCTAAAACCTCTCAGTTCATAATATGCTCTATAAACTTCACCTTCGTCTAAACAGAGTTATTTTGGCCTATCTGGATCCCTGTACACAAAAGGTTTAGTAGCCACTCGTCATTCCCACTGTGACTTAGAATAATGCTAGGCCTTGAAAATGCCATATATCCAACATTAATTTTTTTCTCTCCCATTGCTGCCTAATTTTCAACTCCTAGTTCCATAGGGTGGTCTTGCACCCACAAAGAAAGGACTCTTTCTAGATCAATAATTGGTAAGCTACATGTTCCAACATGTACCTAAGTTAACTAAATCCTCCTTGGTGAAACGTGTTTAAATAATAATTTATCTTCAACACTTTCAAGTTCCTAAATAATATTATTAAAAGTGTTTAAATAATAAAAAACTTCCTCCTCCTCTCTCATCCTCGAGCTAAACAACTTTTCTTCAATAAAATGTGATTTGTAGGGATTTTCACAAATATTTTGCCGTCTTTACTCTCACAATGTTGAACAAACCACTATCAGCTAAACAAACTCATATTGTAGCCAAAGCTATATAATCCATTGCTTCCAAATCTCCAATACTTATGGCTTCGGACTTCTTCTTTCAAACTAATATCTAGCCCTTGTTGGACAAAAAGTTCATGAATATTAATTTTTCATTATCAAAATCCATTTGACCATTGAATTTCTCTACTTCTAGTTACTCATAATTTCTCCTAAAAATAATGCACAAATATAATACTCTAATACCACTTATTCAGTGTCGATAACCTGAAACCCCGAGTATGTCGATCACATAATATCGTACACTCAAACCTCAAATACGTGGGATTCAAAACTGAATAAGAATGCTCAAGCAATTGCAGTAAAATTAGGTGAAACATGAACAAGAGATGGAATAAGCAAACCAAAAATGGAAATTAAGGACAAGTCATAACACAAATTTAAGTGGTTCACAACTAAGGCTATATCTAGAGGCAAGGGGCAAGCAAAGAAAAACCATTGAAAGTGTTTTGGATTATCAAAAATGAGAACAAAATAAGCTTGCATAGCCTCTATACCAAGCGTGAAAACAAGCTCCTTCTTCATTCCCTTTCCTTTTCTCATTTTTATTAAAAGGCAAAACCCCTACCTTTCTAGAGAAAAGAGAAAACGAAAAGGATTGGACCTCAATGGCCTGAGTGTGCTTTTATATGACTCAACAGGAAGGATTGGATCTCAATGGCCTTTAGTGTCCTTTTATATGACTTATTTTGAATAAGGACAAAAATACCCCCAAAATTAATAGTAATGACAAGATGCCCCAAATTAGAAATTTTCCATGCCTCTCTCTCTAATAAGATAAAACCAATTAAAAAAGGGAGTCATAGAAAACAAGACCTTATATAATAGGGCAAAAGGAATTTAAACAAGCAAAATCCTAGAACACGCCAATAACAACCTACATGCAACAACTACAGGCATCGCTAACTTCCAATAGTTTTGTCTACTTTTTACTTGTGTTTGCAGTTAATTTTAGACATTTTTTGTGTGCATGTATGTTTCTTGTGTTGCTAGTGGCTTCTAGCATTTTGAGTCACATGTACTGAATGATGTTTGTAATTGTTAAGAAGCTCACTGCAATGCAACTTATTTTGTCTGTGGTTTCCTTTAATGGCATTGTCTTTTGTTGTTATCTTTTTTGAGTAATACATGAAACCAGATTGAATATTATTTGTAGTCATTAGGAAGAATAAAAACCTTATAGATTCTTGGTTTTTGGAGCCGGCCTCCGAACATGGCTGGGAATGAACCTTGCCAAGGCTATGATGCTTGTTTTCTTGCACCGATTAGTGACCACTTACAGGTGTAGTGGCTTTTTATATCTCTCCTTTTTTTTCTTTATTCTATTTCTCCCAGTAATGAAAGCCAAAATTTTATCTCGTTTTGTAAATATAAACTGGTGCTTATGAATTTCGGCGAATTAGGAAGCCAAAAAAAAGAAAAAAACTTAAAAAATTATTAATTCATTGATGTGCAATGAATCAGGTGGGAGGTGATTGATTCAGATAGCAGCCTCGTGAGATGGTCACATTTTCCTAAGCTCAAGAGCGAACGTCCAATACGTGTCACTACTTTAAAGTAACCCTAACCCTATCCGGGCCAAAAATATTTGCGTCTTTGTGATGGTCTATTTTACCATGGTATTGCATTTGTGTAGAGAAAATAATAAGAAAACTAAGATCCCTTTTTCTGAATCATGTGGAAACGATAATTTATATAAAATGTTTATTTTGAGGCTTACACTTAAAATCCACTTGAAGAGGGATCATTTTGACTATATGCAAATTGATTTTCTTTTTTCTTTTTTTTCTTGAGATTGATGGTTTAGATGAAGAGGATGCTTACAAAAAATTTTGGGTAATATAAATGGTGCAAATAGGGTTTTATAGAAGTGCGATTTCATTATATTATGATGAGATAGTGACGTGAAATCACTGCACACATATACACATATAGAGGATAACACTGACAAACACCTATCGGTGAAATTCTACTGTCACTCACGGCTCATCACCATTCAATATCCATCACACAGTCACAACTGTCTGATAGTATTTGAATTTTAATAAATTTTCTGTAAACCAAATTTAACTGAAATTTGGATGTGTGCACATCTGACCAACTCGTACCGAAATAATATATAGAAGATATAACAAAACGCCTTCAGGCAAAAAGGAACAATGATTTTTTCTACCCTCATCACCATCCAAACTTCATCGCACAGTCACAGTTGTTCGGTAGTATTTCAATTTTCATGTGTTCTTTACTAATCAGAATGATCTGAAATTTAGAGTGTGTATACAACTTAGTGAGGTGCATCAAAGTTTCATCTTCAAGTTTTCCTATTAATGTTTCAGTGTCTGTGCCGTCACCGTCAGAGGAGCTATCTGAAATATCAATTACTTGAATTATATCATATAATTGATTTCGTATATTTTCATCATGCATTAGGGTATCTATTTTATTTTTAACACGGCAATTACTTTTGTAATGGCCAACTTTGCCACATTTATAGCATATTGGGAGTTTTCTCTTAAATTTTGCTTTTGGAGCAAATTTTTGTATGAACTTATTTCTTTTTTCTTTTTTATGTTTTTGAAACCTTTTTGAAGTTTTATCTTTTGGATATTGTTTATATGTTTTTTTCTTGTGCCTTTTATTACTAGAAGAAGGAATTGTACTGAACCCAAATTGTTCACAAAAATCTCCTAGTTCTTTTTTTCCATCATTCATTGTTTATCTAATTGTCTTTTAAATTTCATATCTGTGGAGAGGGCTAATCCTTCAGCACATATTTCTGAAGAAAGTTCTCCTAAAGTATATTGTGAATAAAGTATCATTCCGCCATTTTTATTTTTTAATCTATTTTTGATTTTTTCTGCGAAAAGATATGGTAGACCGAAAATAAATTTTTCTTTCCAGTGATCAGCACTGGAATATTCTCTTAGTAGTAGTCTAGAGAAAAAAATATCTTTATACCATTTATAATGTGAAAGCGTAGGACATTTTAAATTAGAAAGCAAATCTTCATATCTAGCTTCTAATAGCGGTGTGCTACCTACAAAATGTAAGGTTATTGTATAGATGAGTGTATTTACCGCATCGCTTTCGCGATGGGGTATATCTTGATTTAATTCATTGTTTAACCCCCGTCGACGATTTGCATTTAATATTTGGTTTTTTGTATTTTCAGACATATGAAAATCCCACCAGCCACGAAGCCAACCTGTAAAGCCACAAACAATTGCTTTAGCAGCATCTTGATCGTGGCTATCAGAGACTTTACATGCTGTGGCATACATCGTCATATGCCTCACTGTATCTAAAATTTGATGGTCTGACATTCCATCAATATTCCAATTTACTATAGTTCGTCTTGAGTAGGAGGCTGTATGAGATATTCAATCTTCTTCGAATTATATATCTACTGGCGTGGGCCGAGTATGATACATTCTTGCTTGAGACACTGGTCTCCATTTTTTTCCATAGTCTATTCTATTAATATCTACTTTCTTCTTTAAAGGCTTGTTCTAGATTTGATATTTCATTATTATTATTTATTACTTCTTCTTGTAGAACCATAGTTTCTGATTCTACTATTTTTGTTTTCCCTTTTGGGTCTATATTTAATTGGGATAATCTTTTTACCAGTTCATTCATTAATTATGTATTGTCTTCTTTGAAGACAAATCTATCTTTATTTATGGTAGGAGGAGGTTTGAATATAACTGCCTTTTTCTTTTCTTATTGTATTTTTTGGGGCTGACTAATTAGATTTTCTATTCGAGTGCCACCTTACCTAAAGATTTTAGATATAGGTTGGTGTAATTATTTTGTTCTACTATGAGAGGTATAATTTCGACATTATGTGTGTGATCACCAGTGATTAACTGATAGGGTGTAGCTTTTGTTTCTAATTTTCCTTTTTTTGCAAGGGTTTGTTATGGGGGATGAATATGTTGTATTTCCTTTCCTTCAGTAGTATGGTAAGTTGTATACTGATTTTCTAATGTGTTGAGTTCAGGATTTAGTACTGATTCTGGTATTTGATAACCCTTTTCTTTTAAGGTAGCAACTAGCCAGTAGAAAAAACCTATATTTTTTTTATTTATTTTTAGAAATTTATTGTATTTGTTATGGAACGCATCTATTAATTCTTTTGAAAAGTTTTTGAAATACCAATTTCTTAGGGTAGTAGTTTTGAAGATAAATAATCACTCTTTAAATATTCGATGTTTACCTTTTCTTCTTTTTGCAAAGTCATGATATTAAAATCAAGATCGGGTGAAGATGGTTCGGATTGGGAGATTTGATTTGCTTATATACAGGTCTTTGTATATTACTTTGAGTTCTAGATAATCCTTGTATTATTGGCTCATTAATTGTTGAAGTAGAATTTTTTGGAGGAGTAATTCTTCTTCTAGCAGGTCTAATTGCATTATCATCTGAGATTCTAAGTCTAGTATTTCTATTAGTATTAAATTGTATTTCTATTTCCCCATTTGGATATTCGATAATTTTTTTAGGAGTATTATTTTTAGGAGTTTTGAATTGCTGATTTTCGTTTTATATAGACCACTTTTTTTGTAATTCTATTTGAGACCAATTGACTGCTTTAGGTATGGCAGTGTTAGATTTTTCAATATTTATTTGAAAGAAGATTGTCTCACCTTTAGTATCTATCTGTATTACATTTGGATTAAGGGTAGTCATTACTTTATAGCATATTCGATATAATAATGCTATATTCTGAGATCCTGGGTTAATGTCGAAACCATGGGTTTTTAAATTTGAAGTAAGGACTTTTAATAAATTTGGGTCTGTTAAGCATACAGAAAAATTGGGAAAACAGTTAAAATAAATTGGCCCATTACACAGACTTGATTCTACTATTCTTAATAGTGAATCAGTAAATTGATTATGTCGATTATCACCTAAACATAATAATACATAATTATTAAGTCCTAGTCTTGTTAAAGGCTTAACAGCTATTTGGATTAATCCTATATGTAAATAGTTATAATATTTGGTTTTATGAGATTGTATTACTTTATTAGATAGTAATTGAAAAGATTCATGTTCACTTGTAACCGACAAACTTTGTTCAACAGTTTTGATTGCATAGCCTGTTTTTAACTCCATGATTCCCCTTTTGTAAATATATGTAATACGTACTTTACGTATATTCCAATTTCGTGTATGTTTTTTTATATTTTCGATAACTATTTCTTCTTTGTTTTTAACCCGTAGAGTATTACTTGTTGAAGGTAACATCTTATTGGTTAGGTTTCTAATAAAATTTTCCATTTATAGGTTACAGATAATGCTATAGACAACCTCTTATGGCGTTTTTCGACCTCAGCGGCTTCTCTTGGCCTAAACGGTCTTTAAGCCTGGGCGTGAAGTAGCTTAACTCTCGGACTAACCTTTAAATGAAAAAAAATTTTAGATTCCTAACTTTTAAGGGTTACTTTAGCGAGACTCTATTGATAAATTACAATTTGGAAATAGTTTTCTTATGTCATGGCTCCGATACCAGTAGCACCAAGATCTAAAGACCTAAAAACATCTAAAAACTACAAAACAAAACGAACTAAAATAACAGAAAAGAAACTAACAGGCAGAAAAACTAAATCTAACAGAAGTACTTAAAACATTCGTATATAACCGAAATAAATTAGGGCAATAATTACTGCAAAAACAGGAAGAGGAGAAATATCTAGCAAAACCCAGCTAGTATAAGTGGTTCCAAATATTTTAACACTAAATATGAACTTTAACTGCATCATCATTTATTATTCATAACAACTGTTATTCATAACAACTCATAGCAACTGTTTACATTAACAAGAAAAATAATTACAAGAAATACGTACTGGTTACAAATACAGAAACTGTAGAACAGTTTCAATTCTTCAGGGCAGAAACTAGGGAGTGAATCAAGAAGGCAATTACACATGCAGTGTGGCTTATTGTATTCCACCAAGATTACAATATATAAGATATGAAAAACTTAGATAAGAAGTTCAGAGTTTTACCCGAGATTTACAAAGTAGAAGACAAATAGGTATACAAACTTCTTTGGATAGAGAGAAATTTTATAGGGAGTAAAAGGCTGAGAGAGAAGAAGAAGATTAGGAGAGCCGGTTGCGAGAGTCCCTTCCAAGCCTACTCAGTGCATTAGCTAGTCTTCCTTATATAGTGGGCGGACCTCAAAGCCGTCTATATTGTTTTACTCTAGTCACATCTTCGGCGAATCTTGCAGGACAGGTGGAGGGTTGTAGATAAGGGGGTCTCTTCTTAGTGGAGAAGAGGCTCGCTTTTTCTGGACAGCTGGCAGATTTGTGATTGTTTGTCGGAACAGGTGGTGGATACTGTAGGAGATTCTTGAGTCAGGTGGCATGTCGGTGGCTACAGTGTATAGACAGGTGGCATGTCGGTGGCTACAGTGTGTAGGCAGGTAGAAGATTCCTTTTGTCAGTGGTGTCAGTGCCGAATGATTATAGGGCAGCTGGCAGAACTGGTGCTAGTGGATAATTATTACGGTCTGCCATCGTTTGAACTTTTTTGGAGTCTTCTAGA